ACCTTCCCTCATCACAAGAGTTGCCATAACAACGGATGAGGTCGACCCGCACCGGTGGCAGCACGGGGATGTGAACTTTGTTTCTGCCTCCAGCACTTCAGCTGTCTGCCGTGCTTCCGACACATCAACTCCCACCTCCCATGGAAAAAAAAAAGGCCCGACAGAACGATGCGGCGCATCTTCGCTGTTCTGTGAATGTTGGGGCTGTGATTGCTCAGCGGAGGACACTTTGTTTTGGCCTGCGAAAATAAAACGCCATGCCAAAGAACAAAAGTGGCAAATGTAACTTTGAGAAAAGCCCGAGTAAACAAACTCTAATATGATCTGGAGTGAAGTGCAGAATAATCTTCGTGGAGCTGTTTGCACATTCATGTTAGATGCTGGAGGTGAATATTAAAACTGACGGTTTGATCTTTGAAGGTCTGATCTGTGTACACAATATTAAGCTTTAATCATCCAATTTACACATTTCACACACACACACACAGTCAACAAGAATACACGGCTGACCTCATTTCTTGTAGTATTGACAGCTCAGAGAGAAGCTCAACTGTGATGTCACAATTTTTCACAGTATCATATTTATCACAAACGGAGTTCAATGAAATTTTTTCAATTCATATTTTATGCCTTCCTTTCAAATCACTCAATTTTACTGATTTGTAATGAAAACATCTGACCACAGGTCATCAATAAAGAATAAATAAATAAATAAATAAATAAATAAACAAAAAAACCAGTGAAAACTAAAACCAAGTAAGCATTTCAACCTTATACTCCAACAGAAAAATAACATGGAAACATTTTCAGGCAGACCCTCTGTAGCTGTGATGTGCTTTGACAGGCGGCTGCTGAGACTGAGTTGTTGAAGCTCTCAGGACGCCAGATCGAAAAACTGTAGAAAATTTGCCAGACAGATTTCAGTTTGAGGGCAAATCTCATGTGCTTTAGTTTTGTGAGATCTTGTTACGTCCAAACATTTTAAATACATATGTTTATAAACTTAACACAAAAATTAAGGAAGTTTSTGTTTGGTAGATAATATATTTGTTGTGGCAGTTCTTCTTGGCAATCAGTGTTTTTGTGTTTGGTAGATAATATATTTGTTGTAGCAGTTCTTCTTGGCAGTCAGTGTTATACTCTTGGAAAGCCTGTTAAATTCCCTTTTAAATGGTGCCACATTTGTAAGGAACATGAGCAGTAGAGCTGAGTATGTGGGATGCASGCATGACAAATTTGCCAAATCTTTGCCAATAACAAACAGCCACACTGCTGTGGCATGGCATCCCATTCAACCTGTCACAAGTCAGTCAACGTGGTTGCTGGCCGCTCTGGCATGAACAACACATCCAATCTGATTCCATGAGTTCATTGGGGTTGAGGTCAGGACTCTCCTCTCCACTCCGAAATCCTGGTGGTGGTCTCTGATAAACCATGCTCTGTGAGGGTCAAGCATTGTCATCTTGGAGGATAGGGTTGGGTCAGAGACTACGGAGAAATGGGGACGTCACTGGTTGCAGAATTTCATCTTGATATCCAATGAGGACAAGCCTCATTTTTCCAGTGAGGGAGATGCCGCTCCACACCATTGCATTGCCTCCTCCAAAAGATGTTACTCTATCGGTGCAGCGATCAGTATAGCACTCTCCACATCTTCTCCACACTTTCATTCTACAATCCAGCTTCCATAGGCAGATCTGGAATAATCACTGAACTTAACATTCCTCAGGTTCCAGTTCACATATTGCAGACACCAGTGCAAATAGGCCTGACAGTGAAGGGCAGTCATGGCAGGCCTCCTGGTTGCCTGATAAGACACGAGATTGGCTGTGTACAGTTTGTTCTGGATTGTCTGGGCAGTGAGGCATCAACCATACCGTCCTGCCAATCTTTACTACAAATCTGTGGCAAATCACACTAAGTTCTTACAGAGTGAGGCAATGAGTTTCTCTGCGTGTCATCTTCTCAGGACGCCCACTTGTGGTCTGTCACAGACATCCCCCATTATATGGAACTTGGCCTTCTGTTTGGCGATGGCATTAGGGATCACTCAAAATTATTATGCTATTTGCTTTCATGAAACACCAACTTGAAGTTGCTCTTGAGGTACCAGAAGCTCAAAACAAGTGCAACAGCAATAAAAGCTGTTAGCCAATGGCAGAGAAGATTTGGCATTTTTTCACGTGTACAACACATATACTCAGCAAAGAAATAATCTTCCAAACACAAATGTCCTTACTTTTTGTGCTAAGCTTAATTATCAAGTTTAAAGTCCATATTCAGTATACCAATATCAATACTGGTATTGATACCACATTACTGTTTACATTTTAAGTGAAAAGTTTTTCAGTTCCATGTTTGGGAATTTTTTTTGTTCAAAGAAAATCTTTGTTATGTTTATTAACTTAAAAAATGCAACAGTATATATTATGCTGTATATTTGATTTGATAGTCAGAGGGACTGTAGTTCTATACGGAAGTAGAACCAGCTTGTTCTAATTAAAATCAGTGTGTAATGTTTAGGTTCTAACTCAGTGAGTACTCTGCATTGGGTACCCAAACTGAAGTACTCAAACTCGTACTCAGTGTGAGAAAAACTGGTATTGGGACACCCCTAGTAAATAGTGTAACCAACCCTAACAAACCTAAGTTTGAGTTCAACAAAACAGTCAATATGACTCATACATGATAGAAAAAAAATTGGAACTTTTGACTGTCACGACATGTTGTGAGATGTAGGTGAAGTCCAGAGCAGTGAGTTTGTTTGCCATTAGCTGACCTGCTCACTAACTAAAGCTAGGATCTCACTGGGCTGCAACTATTCAGAAACACAAAATTGTGAGGAAATTTTCACTTGAAATTACATTAAATTGACAGGTTTGTGTATGATGCTTAAGATGTGGATGAATAATGCACCAACTTCCTAGAGAATGTAGGCCAAAAGTTCTTGCAACAAATTTACACATTTTTTTTACACTTCTCACTGCTTCTTGACAGTTCTGGGGATGCTGCTTCCCATAGGCTCACCAAAATGAATAAACTGATCTCTTACAAATTTTTTTTCAAAAAAGATCTAAACTCTGTTTTTTTTTGGAACCAGTTTCTCTCTGTAAAACAACTGGGATGAGCGGTATTTTAAAGAACCAAGTTGTTGTTTCATTCTTTCAGCTTGCAGGCCCTGCTACAGTAAGTCCATCAGTTATCCTCATGTCTCCCCAGGCTGCCTTCACACTTAACGTGCTATATCATTGACAATCACTGCCTTTTCTTTTTTTGTTGTTCCTTAAACGAAAAAGCAGAACACAGAAATGCTATTTTCTCCACATGGCAGGGTGTTATTTGCATTTATCTCAGGCTCACATTCTCAAAGAAATAAAAAAAGAAACTAATCAGGCAGAGCATCCTGCCTGATTTTTATGTGTGCATATTCTTAGATGAGGGGCAGGCAAGTGTCTTCCTCTGTGGTTCCCTTCGGATTCAAGCCAAAGCTATTCAGGAGTCGCYTCACTGTGAAAAGTAACAGTAATGACAGACCAAGGCCTTATTCAGAACTCATTTTTGTGCTTTCTCTCCCTCACAATTGAAACAGAGGAATTCTCTCCACGCTTGTTTGGCGAACTCCAGAGAAGACACGCTTTTGTTAATTCATGTGAGACAACGATGGAGCAGTTTATGTAGGTCACATTGTATTAATCTGGCTGGTGATCCCCATAAATGTGCTCTAAATCAAATATGGTCTATTAAAACCCAGTTCGTTGCTCATTGGCTTTATAATGCTTGTGTGGTTGCACTGGGAATATTACTCCTCAGCCACTAAAACAGTGATCCGAGTGCTTTTACACTTAGGCAGTAAATTACTCCTCTGGATTAAAAACATAACAAATGGGACGTGCTTGGTATCAATCAGCCAGAGAAGATCAAACACTCAATCAGCCACAGTTTATTTCAGGCACTGGACCTTTTCATTGCTCGGCTTAAATGAGATCTGCACACATTCTTGTAATTAATAAAGTAGATGATCAAATCATTCATGTAAAAGCTATCTGTCTGAGTGACTCTGCCGTCTGGAGCAAACTAGAAATTAGCATGTAAGATAGGTCACACAGGAGGAATCTTTTATTGCAACGTGAGACTTCAGATTGGACCAGTGAGGCGACTCATGATCTACTAGAAGAAGCTTCTGTGGACAGGTGAAACTACAAAAGTAGAGCAGAAGGACTGACTCAGTGTGACATTTCRGCGTGTATTATATCCCGAATCGCGCTGTACCTTCGTTTGATCTGCTGCTTGAGAAACGACTGCAAACGCTGCCGGGCGACATGTTATTGGGAAGGGAGTATGAGGCCGTTTTGATGCGAGCAGTCAGGCAGAACAATAAATCCCTTCGAGGCAGCAAAGAAATAAAAAAAGGTGCATGGATGAGTTGCTCAGTGATGGGTTTATATCAGAGGAAGCTATTGCTTTTAGGTGCAGCAAGTGAGCCGATGCTGATGGTCATGATCAGATCATTAGAGCTGGTTACCATGTGAGGTTTGCTTGGAAGGGGTAAAGGGTTTTTTGGGGGGTCAAGGAGGGTTTCAGAAACGGAGCCTCTCCATCGTTGCTTCACATTTTGTACTTGCTTTCAGAAGACAGAGACAGAACTATAGAAGGGATGTGAATGTGTTTGTGCATGCATTATACAGACAAGAGAGAGGTCCTTGAGGCAACCTGCAAATCTTTTATCACATCTTTAATTTATTGAAGCCTATAATAGAAGCTACTGCAATTCCACTGAATAGACAGCTGAATAGTAATCAGCCGGGGGATGAGGAGATATGCTTAACGTTCTCTTCCCTTTTTTTGTCAATCCTCCCTTGCCATTTGACAATCTCCTCCTTATTCAATCTATCCCCCAGCTTATGTCATTGTCTGTTTTGAGAAAACRTTATGGCAGACTGAAGGTTTTAACATTTTTTAACTGAGACGGGTGTTTGTCGTTCCCTTGTCTCTCTCTGCAGGGTTTGTCTCTAAAGGCTGGACACGTCATGGGTCTCTTGTGGTTCTCCCGACTGATCCTGATCATCTTAACCCTCATCCCACAACRGTCCCTGGGTTGTCCTTCTGGATGCCGCTGTTACAGCCTCACAGTGGAATGTGGATCACTTGGGATCAAAGAAATCCCACAGGGTGTCCCGTTCATCATAGAGGTCAGTCGGACAAATGGCAATAAGTTAGAGCCCTCTCTTTGAGTCGGCTGCAGCCCGACCCAACCAACCTGCACCGGCGGTTTTTCAGTTGACTTCCCCTTTCATCCTTTCTTATTACCTTGAAATGATTGTGGTTAATCAATTTCCTGTGACCCCTCTTTGGTGTAAAGCCTGAGGGAGGGGCTGCGCTGTTGGCAATTATTCATCCTCCCCTCAGAAAGTGACTCTCGCACACACCCTCTGATCATCTGTTAAGAAGATGTTTAACATTACACTGTCTTTTCCTCCCGGGTTCAGGCCCTCCAACATTACTGCAGCTCATGAATATTGATGAAAAGCAAGTCCCGCATAAATTGTTCCATTAACCTCAATCAGCAGGTCTATCTCGTCGATCATACCTCACCGTGATTCGTGATGAAGGCGCATTACCAATCAGGCAGGCACCCATGGATTGTGCATGAGACCAACAAAGCACTTGTTGTAGCATTCAAATCAATCAAATGGTTCTGACTGACTCTGCAAAGTTTAACAAAAAGAAAGAAAGAAAGAAAGAAAGAAAGAAAGAAAGAAAGAAAGAAAGAAAGAAAGAAAGAAAGAAAGAAAGAAAGAAAGAAAGAAAGA